GGGGTTGGGTCCATCATCAGTGGTGTCCAAAAATTGAAGGTCGGGAGGGGTGAGAGGGTGGGCGTATGGAAAAGTGTGCTCATCGAAAACAACGTGGCGAGAGATAATGATTTTGTTCGTTTGAAGGTCAAGACATCGATAGCCACGTTGATTCGAGGGGTAGCCGAGGAAGACACAACGGGAGGAGCGCGGTGCAAGTTTGTGTGGGGCGGTGGCAGAGATATTCGGGTAGCAAAGGCAACCGAAAACGCGAAGATGAGAGTAGTTTGGGGGAGAATTGTAGAGAACAGAGTGAGGAGTATGGTTGTCTAATACAGTGGTGGGGAGAATGTTGAAGAGGTGGGCGGCCATATAGAGAGCCTCCACCCAGAATTCAGGGGGAAGTTGAGCCTGAAAGAGGAGCGAGCGGATGGTGTTATTAAGAGTGCGAATGGTACGTTCGGCGCGTCCGTTTTGTTGACTGGTATGGGGACAGGAAAAACGGAATAGAATACCCAAGGAGTCAAAAATATTTTTAAGAGGCGCATTTCTGTATTCAGTTCCATTATCACATTGAACAGATTTTATGGTTGTATTAAAATGATTTTTCACATATGCCACAAAGGAATTTAGGTGAGAGAAAGCGTCACTTTTATGTCTTAAAGGAAATACCCACAAATAATGAGAAAAATCATCTAATAGCAACATATAAAATTTAAAACCAGTAACACTTGGCACAGGTGATTGCCATATGTCTGTATGCAGAAGTTGAAAGGGAAAATAAGAGACTCGACTCGAAGAGTAAAATGGGAGGCGCACATGCTTTCCCAATTGACATGCATGACACAGAGTTTGTTGATAATTTTTAAATAAAGGAAAAATGGAAGGGACACCACGCAGGACCGCAGGGCTTGGATGGCCGAGGCGACGATGCCAGGTTTGATGATCTACGGATGAAACGTGAGCTTGAGCAGAGGTTGGATGATCTACCGGGTAGAGAGGGCCTGCATTATTGGACCGATGCATCACGGTCCCCGTCTGACGATCCTTCACAGAAAAACCATGAGCGTCAAATTCAACAGTGCAGTCATTATCACGGGTGAGTTTGCGAACAGAGATAANGTAGGGTGCGGGTTGGGGGGTTTGTGGGGCTGCCGTAAGGCTGGGGGGTAGGGTGACGGGTAGGGTGATGGGTAGGGGGAAGTGGGCGGGTAGGGTAACGGGTTAGGGTGTAGGGTGGTTGTATAGTGGGCATGGGCATAGTATGGGTAGGGTGGGGGGGTGGGCCGGGGGCCCAACACCCCGGGGTTAGGGTTTGGATACGGTGAGTTCCAGGAATTGTGCCCGTCCGTGGGTGGTCGCTGCCTCGATCCGCTGTTTTGGCGCCCTCGACCACGACCCCGGTTGCCGTTGCCACGCCCTTGTCCGCGTCCAAAGCCGCCACGCTGCCCGGAGGATGAGCCGTCACCATAGCTGCTGCCAAAAAATTGTCCCCCGCCGCTGGAGGAGCCGCGCCCGCCAGTCCCGCCGTGCTGTCCACCGGCGTGGCTGCTGCCGCCATGCCCCGCCAGCAGCGCGGTGCTGTTGCTGCTGCCCAGGGGGGTCTGTTGTCGGTCAAGGAGAAAGAGGGCCGACCGGACCTGGAGGAAACTCGGCAGGGGATCTTGAAATTGAATGAACGAAGTTTGGGCTTGTAGATCGTCGGGGAGGCCACGCAACATTTGGAGAACAAATTGGTGCTCAGACACGGGTGCATCGACGTCATCTAGCCAATCTGCAATATTTCTGAGCTCTTGACAATACGTAGCCATGGGAGTAGATCCTTTGATGGTGGTGCGAAATTGGTGCTCGAGTTGCATGGCGCGAGCATGTTTATTGTCGTGAAACAGGTCATGAATCACCTTCTAGAGAGCAGAAGCAGAAGAGACAGAGGAAAGAACTAGATCTGAAACTTCATCAGTGATGGTGGAGAGAATCCAGCCTTGGAGAACGGCATCAAGCTGAAACCATTCATCGTCGTCATCGGAGATGGGAGCAATAGAGCCGTTGAGATAGCCCTGAAGGTTGAACCGCCGTGCAAGAAGAAGGAACAGGCGGCTCCACTTTTTGTAGTTTGGTTGAGAAAAGCTGAGTTGGATTGGAACATGGAGTTTGACGTTGGAGACAGAGAAAGCCAGATGTGGAGATTTTTGGGTGGAGGATTGAGAGATGACTTCACTTTCAGCCATGGAAGGAGGGGGAGGAGGCTGCCTGCCGTGAAAGAGAGGAGGAGAGAGACGGCGGCGCAGGTGGAGGTTCGGCGGAGGGGAGGGCCGAAACTAGGGAGGATATTTTTAGGGTTTTAGTTAGACTCTGATACCATGAAGAATAAGTATTTTCATTGAATAAATTGTGAGGAGAGTACATGTATATATACACAAGTCTCAATCCTAATTAAGGTAGGAGAGACACAATAGGAAACCTATACAAATATGGTAACAATAATAATACAATAATATTAAATATAATATATATATTTAATAAGATTGAGGGCATTCCATTTCACAGAAGAACTAACATACGTTCTTTATCTGCTGCTATACAAGTACCGAAATCCACACTACATAGGTGCATACAAGGAGGGCAACTACAAAGTCACACGAATGCTATAAAGCCTTTCCTAACAGAGGAAAACAAGCTGAAAAGGTTAGCTTTCGTGTTAAATCAGTTGATTCCAGAAACCCTTCCCCACTCACCCTTGTTTAAAGATTTCTCCTGTACAATTCATGTGGATGAGAAATGGTTTGAAATGTCCAAACAATCCCTCAGAGTGTATAAGACTGAGAGAGAAAGAGAGCCCCATAGGATAGCTAAAAGTAAGACACACATTCCTAAACTAATGCACTTGTGTGCAGTAGGCAGGCCTGTCTTTGGTCCCGAGGGGGAGGTTATTTGGGATGGGAAAGTTGGAATTTGGCCTCTAACAATTCAAGTTCATGCACAGAGGAGTAGTAAAAATAGGGCAGCAGGAACTTTAGAGACCAAACCCATACCCAAAATAACCAAAGAGGTGTACAAAGCACTTATGATTCATAAAGTCCTGCCAGCAATCAAGGAAAAAGTACCAGATGCACTTAGAAAACACATAATCATACAACAGGATAATGCAAAGCCTCATATTGCTGTGGATGACATGGAGTTTGTGCAAGCAGCCAATGTAGGTGGTTACAACATTGAGCTTACATGTCAGCCACCAAACTCACCAGATTTAAACATTTTAGACTTGGGGTTTTTTTGCATCAATACAATCATTGCAACACCAGACAGCCTCTAAAAATGTGGATGAATTGGTACAACATGTGGCAGAAGCATATGCTAATTTGGATGCTAAGAAACTGAATAATGTATGGATCAGTTACCAGTTAGCAATGATAGAGATTTTGAAAGTACAAGGAGGCAATAACTATAAATTGGCACACATAGGTAAGGGCAGACTTGAGAGAGAAGGTACACTGCCAAACCAACTGGATGTAAATGCAGAACTTTATGAGTCAAGTCTGTATGCCTTACAAGGTGTCCAATGTAGAAATGGGGAAGGGAGTGCATCAGGAACAATCTAAGTGATATCGTCTTTCAAATGTCTTTTGTTTACTATGTTCATCATATGCACTTTTTTTGTTTCTTTTTTGGCAGTGTGTATGGACAGCCAATGTATGCAAACATTTTTTGGATTTTGGATGTATATATGGATAATGAACATGTTTGCGGTTATTCTGTAAATGGATGCCCTCTTTCTAAAACCTCCAAACACACAAGATACAGTGGGAGGATACATAAATGTTACATCCTGCACTAATCATGTGTGGGTGGCTGAAGTCCCAAAAAAAATTATAAAAGCATCACAAACACTGCCCTAAATGACCATAAAGGTTACAAACACCAAGCACATAGTCCACGCATCACATTCGAGTGCAAATTATCATCATTAGTTTCCCATATAATCTGAACTATAGAGTAATGCAAAGGAGGCACTTAATAAAAATATTCTACGCACATAAGAAAGAGAGGAATACTCCCCTAGAAGTCCTTGTGGCGCATCTTTGGATCCGAGAATAACAACTCCCATAGAACATCATCCCCTTCTTCGTAAATGTAGGAGTCAGAATCTGTGTCATCATCATCCTCCACATCCTCAACATCNTATCATCATTAGTTTCCCATATAATCTGAACTATAGAGTAATGCAAAGGAGGCACTTAATAAAAATATTCTACGCACATAAGAAAGAGAGGAATACTCCCCTAGAAGTCCTTGTGGCGCATCTTTGGATCCGAGAATAACAACTCCCATAGAACATCATCCCCTTCTTCGTAAATGTAGGAGTCAGAATCTGTGTCATCATCATCCTCCACATCCTCAACATCTACATCCTCTGTACTAGCAAGGGGGGCTGTATTAGCAACAGAGACATTAGTATAATACGCCTCAAGCTTCTCTCGCACCATTGACAACTGTTTTTCAATGCGAATCTCATCAAAAACAGCTTCAAGCTCCGATTCATATGAATCTGGAGTGCTATAAACAGATGAGAAATCATTTTCTTCACTATGTTCATCCATGCCTTCGATCTGTAACAAAGGGCAAGAATACATAAATTAATTGATTAAATATGATAAATTTAAAAGAATTAAATAAAAATCCAGACCTACTAACCTTAGATGTCGAAAAGGATCAGATGTCCCTTAGATCTAAGTTTAGGTCTAAGTTTCGTAGATCTAACACAGTTGAGATCTAAGTTTAGATCCGAATTCAACAATGAACGAAGAAGAAGAACATAGATTTGAGGTGGAGGAGCGAGAGATCGAAATTAAAGTGCAGGCGAGGAGCGAGATAAGGTTTACTGTTGAGCTTCACAGGAACTAAGAAGATTTGAGAAGGTGGGAGCTTCACAGGAACAGATAAGATTTGAGACGTAAATGGGAAAATGGGTTGAGGGGTGGGTGGGAGATGTAAATGGAAAGAAGGGTATTTTAGGAAGTTTGTTTATAAAATCTTACCAAAAATAGAAACAGGCAATTTATTTTGGGACGGACGAAAAAGGAAAACAGGCAATTTAAATCAGGACGGAGGGAGTAGTAATGAACATACTATTTCTTTTCAAGTAGTGTTACTGTTTGACCCAAAAATCAAAATGTGATTTTTTTTAGAAAGATATACTACTCCCTCCGTCCCGAAATATTTGCAACGTTTGCTTTTTCGGCATTGCGGGAACTTTTGTTTATTTCTACGCTTTCATTGGTTATTTGATAAAATAAAATATTCTTGACACCTCTTATTTCGAAGAACTTTTCATGTAGTTTTTTGATATGTAAATTTTAGTTTTTATTTCTATACCAACATATAAATAAAATGAATTTAAAAAATTTGATATTTTATCTCGGGATTACAAGTGTGGCAAATATTTAGGGACGGAGGGAGTATTACATTGTCTTGAATAAAAAATTAAAATTCATGAATTCAAAACATAAAATATATGGTAGGACCAAAATTTAGGAGTGAAAGAACATTTCAACTCCCAATCTCCCATCCACTCCAAGATCAATTTAAATTATATTGAACACGAAAAATGGTCGGGCATCAATTCAACTTAATTTACATCCCCAATCTCCCATCCCTTAACGTACAAAAAAGTTTTGGCCCCAAGTATGTATACTCTTTTCGTCCCCAATTTGATTACAAATTGGGGTATACAAGGAGAGATATCTCACTTTTTGAAATTATTTTATTTACAAATTGAAATATCGATAAAAATAAAAATTACATATTAAAAAACTACGTCAAAAGTTCTACAAAATAAGAGGTGACAAGAATATTTTATTTTATCAAACACTTAATGAAATTGCATAAACAAACAAAAGTTATGAGAGAAAAAAACTATAATCAAATTGGAGACGAAGGGAATATTATATAATGAAACATAAGTTTTCCTTTCATTTTTTCTCTCGAGAAATGGACGAGAGAATAATAGATTAGAAAAAAACGATAAAAAAATTATATTATGGAGAAAAAAAGGAAAACCTCATTTCTAGTGTCTCTTGAGATCATTCCATAGTGATAGAGGCCCTGTTTGGAAAGAACGTTTTTAATTAGCATTAGCGTTTTGGATAAAATATTAACAGTGTAGATTAATTCAGAAAATGCTAACACTAATCTCTAACGCTGATGCCAAACGGGGCCAGAGAATAAGTGATAAAAATAATACGTCATTATATTCATCTCAACATGTTTTTCTCTTTGCAAAAAATGAAGCAAAATTTCAAGTTTTTCAATTTATTTTATTTAAAGATAGATTATAAAAATAAGAAATACTCCGTAAAACTTATATATTTAATAACTACTTATAAAAATTCACAAAATAAGAAATGATTCTAATAGTTTACCTTATTAAATAATCGATAAAAATGCACAGATTAACAAAAAAATCACATAATTTTTGAATAATAAGTGTAAAAATCTTTTAGAGATGGAGAAAATAATACGGAGTATATAGAAAATCCATTGGTGCATAAAAAATGTTACACTAAAATAGTGTCCCAAGCATTAATATTGACACACATTGATAGTAAGTATATGCATGTGCGCGTATCGATACTTACTCTGTACGACTCGTTATAATGTTTAAAGTCAAAATGACGTCACCATTTCGGCATCTCCTAGCACAACCCTTGGTGCTATAGATGAGCCACCAACTACCCAACTCATTACACATGATCAATTGTACCCCAGACACTCTCACAAGCAGTTAGGTAAAGCATGATTGGCAAACCGTTTCGGGATTAGAGCACAAGCAATGACAAGTAAAAAATGATATGCCACACGCTTACAGGTCATTTTCCAACCAATAAAAAATAGTCCAGTTACGGAGTGGCAAGTGAGTGGAGTTGCACACCTTACATTGGCAAGTCATTATTTTTTGTAACTTTCATATTTTTTTGAGAATTTTAATTATTAAAGTGCCTCCTATTTTATTTTTTTATCTTATCATACGGAGTAACAAAGAAAAAATACTCCCTACGTTCCTAAATAGATTACAATTTTTTTTTCTCTCTCTTCTCGATAACTTTTGTTTGTTTACGTAATTTCATTAGGTATTTGATAAAATAAAATATTCTTGTCACTTTTTGTTTTGTAGAACTTTTGACGTAATTATTTAATTTGTAATTTGTATTTCTTATCATTATACCAATTTATAAATAAAATGATTTCAAAAATTAGAGATGTCTTCTCGTAAAACCCCAAAGAAAATGAACAAAGAAATACAAAAGAAAAATAAGAAAATAAATACTATGGAATATAGAAGTACAGATGTGTTAGATACTTAGATGTGTTGATGGCCATTGGCCACAGATTTCCTTATCCATATGAAAAAAAGGAAAAATAAAAAGAAAACAAAAGTACTCATCAGTGGCTCGCAGGCTACTCGGTTTGAGGGGAGACTCGCCCTAGACACGCATGACAACATGCCTCCACACATGCTGATGTGGCAGGGCATGGCATAGTGATAGAATGCCATTGCTAATGCTCTTAAGATAAATGTTTAGATTGAACGTTTTTAAAACTAATATGCATTATAAATGAATTATTTAAAATGTTATCTCTAATTAAAAACGGTGCTCCAGACAAAGACGTAGAGCATGACCAGTAGTGTATAGGCTTCTCGGGATACTAAAATCTTTTTTGAGAACAACATTAGCTTTTCTTTTGAGTCGAAGAAGTTGAGTTGCTCAAGAATCATTATTGGAGGGGATTGTTTATCTCTTAGGAGTATTCCAAACCTCAAGAAAAGGGAGGTGTACTCGATTTTAGAACTAGTCACGGTCACAAGAATGATATCTGAAAAAAATGAACTTGTTCGGTAGCAAACTATCTCCACACCCGAAGAACAAGAGAAAGAAAACCAATATTTATATGTTTACCCAATCCCAATAGTATATATGAGACCTTTTGGTAGGTGTCCCAAAACAAATCAGCGAAATCTTTACTCAGAGCGGATAATATCATACTAATGCAGGGTTTGGGTGAGAGATATCAGGATATGCACCGCTCGAAAAGAATCCAAAGCACAAAACATTAGTTTAGAATGTTTTGTTTTTATGCATGTCAAAAGATGTAGGAACATTCATACAAAACAACTGGTACCAAATCTAGGATGAACAAAAAATTGCAAATCCAAGAGCATAAATGTATAGATGTAAACATGATACTCCATGAAACCCAATCCAACATAAACATCAACAGCTTCATGCTTCAAGACATCATCAGCAGCAAAATATATAGCAGAGAAGTAATTAATAGCAAAACTTAAACATTCAAGAGAACAAAAGAACAAAGACCCTTGAAACTATACCTAATGTTTGGAACCCAAGAGCAACTTGAGTTGTTTGCTCACCAATTCACTCTTCTTTGCAAAAAGCAGCATCTCTTCCCCAGCCAATTTGACCCAGTTCTCTTCCAGCTCCATTGCTGTGGAGCTTGGGATGGAACCCAACCTTTTTTTGAATATTTCTATGGCATATTCGTCAAAGAGAGGCATGTTGTTTCTATTGAAGGAACCAACTAAAAGTGGATGCTTGGAGTTGAAATCCCCGGCGGAACCAGGTTCCGTCGTCGCCGCCGCGACATGTTTCCCCTCCGATTTTCCCTTGGATGATTTGTTGGTTTGGGCGTCGATTCTCGGATGGCTCGTCGGCTTCTTCAAGATGGCTTCTGGCACAAGGACTTCCGACTTCCTCTTCGCACTCAAGGGCTTGGTTCTGAAACCGGAATCAGAAGAAGAAGAAGAAGATGAAGAAGAAGAAGAAGAAGAAGAAGAGGAAGGAGATTGGGGACGCGGGGCCATTGCTGTTGTGACTTGTGGTTGGCTACCTTTGGCATTGGTTTAGGGTTAGCGTTATAAAATTTATAGTTAAGTTAGTTTTTTTGTTTTTGGATTTTTAGAATTAATATATATTACTCCCTCCGTCCCGGAATATTCGTCTAGTTTTGACTTTTGAAACTGTTCATCTAAGCACTTTGACTTATCAAATTCTCTCAATGTGTAAGCATAAATATAGTCATGTGTGATCTTGTTTGATTTGTCTTAACATATAGATTATTAATATATAATTTCTATAATTTTTTAATATACAAATTACAAGATAAAATGGATTAAAGAAGTGTATTGAATTGTGTGTAAAAATGAAAGTGGACAAATATTCTGGGTCAGAGGTAATATTAAAATTTTATCTAAAACGTTAACGCTGATAAAAAGTATTATTATTAAAAAAAGTTATTGTTTCTCTGGATACGGCCACACGGTGCGTCAATAAGGATGTGAATCGTGGTGCCACTAGGCCGATGATCCCGGTGGGAATGCTGTCCACCATTTTTGGGATTCCGGGTAGGAGGGACGCAGACGCCAAAAACGCCGAAGCCTTCCTCTTTTTCTTCTTCAATTCTGTAGTTTCAAATTTTTATCTTTGTTTAATTTAAAAAGTTATATAAAATGTTATAAAAGTAATATGTAAAAATAAAAACAAAAATAAAAGAATGATGATGGAATGAAGATCCACAATCCTGAATGAAGATGAAATGAGGAAAACTAATATTGTCTAATATGGGAAGAATAGTGTGCCTAAGCATTTTTCATTTGTGAAGCTATATACTACTCCGTACAATACTATCAACACAAATAATAGTAAAACATAATAATAATATCATAGGTTCTTAATCGAATGTAGTACTAGTGGTCCTTGTCCACTGGTCATTATTCAAATAAATGTCCACCACCATTGGACTTTGTTCAAACTAAATGTCCACCATCACTGAACATTATTCCCGCCACTAGACATTATTCAAGTACGGAGTACTATTTAATGCAAATTTCACTTATTAATAAAAGACTAATGGTTTAATCACATGTTCTATAGAGCATATAGAAATAACATTAACAAAAAACATATATAGAGAGTGGAACATACTCCATCCGTCCGGGAATAAACTTCCCGGTTTGACTTTTCCTTCTTTTTAGTGGGTGCCTTATTTACATGTGAAATGCCAAAACTGCCCTTAATGAAAGAAAACTTTAAAAAACTGAGATTTGGTTACTTTATGGCCGAACAAGGCCTAAATAGTTCAACAACTGCCACTGTTTGAAATGATAACAAAATGGGCATGGATTGTTACATCAAATCAAGGATTACATTACACAAATTGGCAATTCCCTCCATTTTTTGGAGGCCCGCCCAAAATGGTTAAATTCCCACTCTCTAAAGCATTACTGCCTACATAACCCCCCCCCACTCATTTCCATTTTTGGCCTGCACTCCCATGTCTTCTTCTTCTTTTTCTTCTGTCTTCTTCTTCTTTTTCTTCTGCAACCTTTTCTGAAGCATGCTTTCACAATGAGCCTTATTCCTTTTTCTTTTTTCTTTCCTAATTCCTGGAGGCCTGCACACATATAGACTGATGAATACCACTCACATAAATACCAAAAAGTTGGACAACACAACACGGCAGATTATTAGTGAAGCACTACTTTCACATTCAAAGAAAAATGCAGACGGTTCATACTCAGCTCAGTACGGGCAGATCAACACGCTTGCTGCAGAATATAATGTGTCCAGAAAAACAGTGAGCAACATATGGGCCATTGCAAAGAAACAAATAGAGCAGGGCATTGCCACTGATGTGAGAAGCAAACTGGCAGGAAACAGTGGCAGAAAAAGGGCAGTGATGGATATAAAGGCTATAGCAGACACACCCCTCAGGAAGAGGACTAATGTAAGATCATTAGGAGCTGCCATTGGTAAGCCTAAATCAACTGTGCATGAGTGGATTAAAAGAGATATGCTTAGGAGCCATTCTAATGCTATAAAACCATACCTCACAGATGCCAATAAAATTTCAAGGCTCAGGTTCTGTTTAGATCAGGTAGAACCCTACAGCATGCCAATCCACCCTAGGTTTAAGAGTTTTCACAATGTTTTGCACATTGATGAGAAGTGGTTCTTTATGTCTAAAACATCTCAGAAATTTTATCTTCATCCTGATGAAGCAGACCCATACAGGGCATGTAAATCAAAAAGGTTCATAGCTAAAGTGATGTTTCTGTGTGTGGTTGGGAGACCACTATTTGGGGATAATGGAGAAGTGTTATGGGATGACAAAGTTGGCATATTTCATTTCACAGAAAAATGCAAAGCCAAAAGGAAGAGCAAGAACAGACCCAAAGGGGTGTTAGAGGTGAAACCAATAACTAGTGTTACCAAACAAGTCACAAAAGATATGCTCATCAATAAAGTGATACCAACAATCTAAGAAAAATCTCATCAATAAAGTGATACCAGTAATCCAAGAAAAATGGCCCTCACATTTATCTAAAGACATACACATTCAGCAAGATAATGCAAGGCCACACATTCAAGGAGTGGATTCAGTCTTTATGGCAGCAGGTAACACAAATGGGTTTCACATAACTCTACACAACCAACCCCCTAACTCCCCAGACTTGAATGTCTTGGATCTTGGATTTTTCAAAGCCATCCAGTCTTTAAAAGATCAGTGTGCTCCAAGTACTGTGGTAGAGTTATTAGAGGTAGTGGAAGGAGCATATGATGTTCTAAGTCCAGAAACCCTAAACAAGGTTTGGTTGTCTTACCAACAGGTTGACTAAAGTAATGAAAAATGAAGGAGGCAACAACTACAAATTGCCACACATGGGGAAAGACAGACTAGCCAGGGCAGGGAATCTTCCCAACTACTTGAACATTGAGCTAGCCTTAATTGAGAAGACAGTAAGACTGCTTGGTGAACAGAATGCTAACACAAATGAAGAGATGGTTGAGTTCAACACTGAAGATGGAGATGACTACCTTTCTTCATAGTTGAACTGAACCCAACCTTCTAATTCCTGATTATTTTTTGTTTTGGGTTGTGGTTATCACTGAACTGAACCCAACTTTTTTGGTTTTTGGTTTTTGTAAGTGGTGGCCAGTGTGGGGTTTATTGGGTTTTTGGATTTTGGGTTTTGGGACTTTGTACTCACATCAAGGCAACTACACCACATTGGCTCTATATGTAACCATGTAAAACAACAACCAACATAAGGCATTCAAATTATTATTCCCATATCATCATTGCTGAGTTTTTAAACTACATATGCACAGCCCACAATAAGTACACAATGACCAGAAGCACATATAAGACCACAAAGGTGTAACACCTTCACTACTCAGAGACACCATTGTGGTACAATAATGCTCATCACAGTAGCAGTATATTCTCAGCCATTCATCACAGATAGTGGTCAACAACTTCCCAGAGGCAGCATTGAATAACAAGCTTAAACACACACAAAACCACAAAAGTGTAACACCTTCACTACTTAGAGATACTGTATCCTTATTAGAGTAATGCTCATCACAGTAGGAGTAATTTCTCAGACACATTCATCAAAGATAGTGGTCAATGACTTCTTATAGAAGCAGAAACACACATAAGACCACAAAGCAGACACCTTCACTACTCAGAGACACCAATAATGGAAAAATGCTCATCACACAAGGGTTTTAATTCTCAAACATCCATAAGAAGCAGAGACACATTTAGAACAATCACAATAACATCCATAAGAAGCAGAGACACATTTAGAACAATCACATCCAGTAATGGAAATACTGTGAGTAATTGAAGTTAAAAAAGGTGACAGGAACTTCCCCACTTGTACTTTGAAGCCCAAAAATTTGGATCAGGGCTTGGAAGCAAGATGTTCAGCATATCGATGTGTAGATGCATGCATGAATAGATCGCCTGAGAATGCTCAATCCCACTTTTTTCACATCCCTCTGGGTCATCAATCTCAGTGTCGAGAAGAATTAAGTCCCCCTCCTCGCTCCCAAGAAGAAAAACGCTGTCTTTCTGTGATTCAAGGTCGATGACGTCCTTCCTGTCTCTGACAGGGGCAACATCGGCAGCATCGTCCTCGCTATGGATGACGATGACCTCGTCCTCCTCCGTGTCATCAGAGATGAAATTCACGTCCTCACCTCCACCATCTTGAAATTCCGTCTCAGGAACAAAAGATTCAAAACATAAATCCAACGATTCCATTGCAGATCGTGGAGGAGAAGGCGATTCCATTGCAGATCTTGGAGTTGAGATTGAAAATCTCAACAAATAAGATAGAAAGGGAGTGATTGAGGTTGGGTGAGGTTAGCGAAAGAGAGAGAGTCAATAAATGAGAGGTTGAAGAGAGATAGTAAATGAGGTGTATTTTTGGAAGAGTATTGATAAAAACGTAGAGTGAGAAGATTATTTCCGGACGGAAAAAAACGTAGAGTGGGAAGTTTATTTCCGGACGGAGGGAGTACTTTTGAAACGACAAAAAAAAAAGAAATATGAAACTTTTTTGTGTGATGGAAAGAGAATAAAAAACTTGGCACTCTTTATTTGACCCAAATAAAATTGATCTTTATGTTTTAAAGTCCACATAATCTTTTTTTATTATATTAATTTGATAAGATAATATCTTTTGTTTTACAAACTTTTCTATGTATTTTGTAAGTTTTAAATATGTACTCTCTAAGTTTTAATTTTTACTTTTATACTATCTTCCAAATAAGATACTGTATAAGTTAAAGAGAAGTTATACATGATTACAGTGACCCACCACTCCCACCAGTGTCTTCCACAAAATAATTTACATATGCATACAATGCCATTTAAGAATGGTGGCTGAAACAGACCTCACTATGTTACTCACATTGGAGCTATCATCACATTATATACAGACCCATAAGTGCAATCAATCAATGAATGCTATGCATGCATTCCGATCAATTCATCTTCCCCACAGTCTCTAAGGCCAATTGCCAGTGTTTCTTTAGCAGGGGACGAAATGTCGCAGCAGCAACGCCGAGGTGCCTCCTGCTTAGTTAAGGAAGACAAATCAAAATCAGTTTCACTAAGCCAATTGAAGAAGTTTCAGAGTACAGGCAAGAAAATCACAGTAATTAAAACCTGTCCAACTTCAAAACTCGATCTCCCGGAGAAGATTTTGACATGAACCAATTCTTTGATTGCACTGTTTCTCTCACAATTCCAAACACTGTTGTGCCTGACGTACGAGGTCCAGGATCCGTTCGTTTCAGAAAGAACATCATGGAAGTAGAAGATGTCTGGCATTTCGCACGGATCCCCACCTGGGAAATCTCTGGCATTGAACATGTAATAATGGCTTGAAGAAACCTTCTTGCCCCTCCAAGGTCTGAATGTTCTTGGCAACCGGAGGAGGTCGGGAAGAAGGACATCGCCTTTGTATACTTGAACAGAATAACCCCAGGAAACCGAAACGGTGAGCGAACTGGAACGGTCATAGCAAACACTTTGCTGAAATATCCGGGCAGAATCGGCGCGTACAGCTTTGAAGAGATGCTCCATGGCTTGAACTCTAGACATGTTTGGAAAGATTGGGTCAACCTTATCCAAGTGATGAAGTGATGCTGCCAATGAGAGTGGATGTGCAGATAGGATGCCAAATATATCTCCCCTTACATCAACCTGTCAATAAGAAATTTAAGAACATTTCAATTACTACTTCACAGATAACAATTGCTGCTAAAATCTAAATAATGCAACCAAAGGCATAAAGTAGCCCATGAATTATATGAAGTGGCAATCATAGAATTATCAAACAAGTGAACCATAGAGATTCTTGGCAATGACAAGCAGAAGTTTCTATGAACATGATTTCAAGAATTGTTTGTATGAACTAGAGCTCTACCATAGCAGAAACTGAACTGATCCAAATGCAGTCAAAGAAGAAGGAAAACAGAAGTGTAAAGTTGAGAGCTTTGGACCTGATGAAAACCCAGTTCACGAGTCAGACTTACGCCAAGCTCAGCCAAGCAAGCAAAAATTCGACCATCGCTGCCGTACAAATGCGGGTACCTAAACAGGCAAGAATCCATAACCCTAGCTAAAACCCTAGCCAGGGGAGCGCTGATGGCGAATCCACCCCCTCCAAAGGCCATATCAAACGAGTGCTTGGCGTTCTGTTCGTAACTCTCTGAATGGCACCCGATGTAGTACCACCTCCGATCGTCGTACTTTGAGAGAATCCTCGCCACATTCTCCGGGAAAAACACTGTGTCGTCGTCGCCGAACACGAACCAGCGAATGCGGGAGAAGTCGAAATCCTGCTTCAATTCGAGATCCAAAGTGTCTCTGACGATGCGCGCCACGCGAATTGCGGATCTCTTGCCGGAGGAGAAGGTGTAGGGGAAGCGGGCAGTGTCGGAGGAGACGAAAATCGGCGGGCCGGGCAGTGAGCGATCGGGTGTAGGGTTATCGAGGAAAACGACGGCGTTCGTGGAATTGGGCTTGTACCAGAGGTTCAGGTAAGGCGTGCGGAGGGGGTATGAGGAAGAAGAGCCGGCAATGGAAAAGAGGATTTGTGTGAGGGGGAGGGGAAGCTCGGCGGCGGAGACGGAGGAGGGTGTGGCGGTGGTGGTGGGAACTGGAATGGGGCGGAGGATGCAGAGAAGGTAAAATATGAAGACGGCGGAGAGGAGGAGGAGGAGTTTGGCTCCGGTAAGGTGACACAAGAGTCTTCTGCAGATTTTTATGCGCATTCCTATTTCTTTCTTTCCTTCTTTTCTCTTTGTTTCTTTCTTCATTTCTTTCCTCTTTGTCTCTTAACTCTGAAACTGAAAAGGGATCGCACCAAATAAAAGAAATTAAAAAATGGTCCGAGCAACACTCTATTGGGCTTACTTTAATTTGAAAATAATGTTACAAGATTAATGTTAATATTTTGAAAAGAATATTTATGAGAAGTGTTTAGCATTAATTTTTTAAAAGTAATTTATATAGCTAAAACTTTAATTAAAATGTTAACGTTAATCTCTAATGATATTCTTAAATAGATCATATGTCAATTGAGTTTTGATTCGTACTTGATTAATGGGGGAATCCACAGGACAGGGGGAGCAAGACACAGAGGAGGATCAAGATGAAGGGTCTAAACCAGATGAGGATAACGAAGATGAAGATAATGGTGAATCTGACTTTGATGCTGAGTCGCACAAATTTGATGAATAAACTTGTGGAGTTGTTTAAAAAAGCACTATCTTAAACACCTCTTTTGCTGCATATGAAATTATTCTGTCCCTGCTAGATTTTCGGATTCTCTCTACATTTTTTTGTTGAACTAGTGCATGCAAAAGCTTTTATGAATGATGGTTGACATGCTTAATCTGTCCTTCAATTCAGCCTTAGAGATTATTACTCTTTACTGGTCTCCTCACTTCACAAGCTCTTGATCACAAATAGGATGACCTTGTTATTATGTATGTTTTTAAGTTTGTTGTACACACTCTTGCTAATCAGTTTTTGAATATTACTCTTCTCCCAGTGAATAAATCTTACCTGGTATCTTTGGCATTTTTTTTCCAAAAAGGGGAGAAGAGGCTCATAAATGGCTGAGTGATTGTGCTTGTGTTTGTCAAAAAATTGCCAAAGGGAAGATTGTTAGCTCTCTCATAGTTTAATCCCCGGTTTGGTTGACATAATTTTTTGACAACACAACCACATTAGTTAAAGAATAATGTTCTAATAAATGTTATAGCATAGAGGTCTGTCATCCTATTTGAAACCAGAGCAACCTATTGTCTCAAGGAATCGGGATATGCTAGAGATTAGTACAAACCATTACTACAAGTCTTTTCTGCAGCATAGTTGATTGATTTGTTTGAATAGCTCTTAATTAATGATTTCCCGACGCCCCCACGAACTTACAGCTCAGTATCTAGATATCTTTAGACCAGTCTTTTCATAACATGATACTCTTTGTAATAAATATTCTCAAGTGCTAATAAGTTTATTATTGTATATAATTTATTATCTTTTGATAGATTTATTAACTTGAATTTTAATATGATTTAGAGCTTAATTGTACAACAACAATAACAACCCAGTTAAATCCCACAAGAGTAGGGTCTGGGGAGGGTGTGTGTACGCAGACTTTGCCTCTACTCGAAAGTAGAGAGTCTGTTTCCAAAGAGACCCTCAGCTCAACGTCGAAAGTTACATTGCTTGACTAACTGCTACTTCATTAATTAAAGAAGCGCAAATAGTTTAGATATCCATTTTAATTTATTCCATCACACCCCAAAGCCAAAAACAGGTGAAATTTTGGCTCCATCGGAGATGATGGAAATTAGAGCTTAATTGTGTTTTATTAATTAGAATTGTGATTTTGAACTGATATTTGTTATTTGTCATTTTTAGAGTTCAAATATAAGAAAAGGAATGAATTGCTAGGGAATTCAAATTCACGGGTCAATTTATAATTTCTGAAAGTTTGTTTTAATTTCTCAGCAAGCTCTGTAGAGTAAATGAGGCTGGATCGAAAATCAGAGACGGACTGACGGAGAAATCACGCAACCGGACGTCCGGACCCGGTTGGACCTTTCTTCCTACGCGATCCAGCCAGCGCCTACAGCTCCGGCGTCCACTTCTGCGGTCCAGCGGCGTCACAGCTCCCTAAAAGCGTCGTCCAAATCCAGCGAGCACCAAATCCCGACGACTCAGCATCAGCGGCGGCGACCAGGGCTTCCCCCTGCTCCGGCGACGGGCTCCAGCGACGTGGTGGGTCCTGTCCGGCGAGAAGACGACGGCCTCCCAATTTCCGGTGCTGACCCGGCCCAGACGCGAAGAATAACAACTGCAATTCCTGATCCAAATTTAGGCGGCTGAATTGACTATATTACCCCTGGTTCTTAATCTACTTAAATTTCAACTCATGCTCTTATGGGTCATTTTACTCCTACTCTATATCTATATATACTCCCCTAGATCCATATTGTAAAGTGAGCTCCCCCATTCTTATTTTATGTTCTTAGACTAGGGTTTTTATTGAAGCTTCATCATATTCTTCATTATGCCATTTTATTTTGGGAGCTCCAATATCTAGATTTAAACTCTTACATTTCTCTTCTCGTTTCTTAATTTAGTCTTTATTTTCCTCATCTCTTCCATGATTTTTCTTTCCTTTTTACTCTCTTATCTTTTGTGCATTTTTAGATTAAGCATGCTAAGCTAGATTTTCTAGCCTAGGTTAGAGATGATTGTTGATTTATGTTAGTTGTCATTGGATTATGCTATATCTATGCTTGGATGTTATTGTTGGCCACGATGGCATTCTTGTATTTCGGAGTGGATTCTAAATCACCGAGGAATCGGGATTTAGAACCTTAGCCGCGTGTCTCTACTCTCAAGTCCTACCACGGAAATGTGTTTGTAGTTCTCTTGAGACGAGCACCACAGAAGTGGGTTCTTATCAAGGGGAATCTTTCTCGATTCTCACGGAAGTGAGAATCGAGGTGATTTGCTCGCATTCTAGTCGATTTCCCATTTTCTTCTATTCTGTTGGCAATTGCATGATTAGCACGAAATTCCTAACCTAGGCTTGCTTTCATTTACTTCTTGCATTTCATTGCATTAGTTTAGTTCCATTCATTTGCATTCATATCATTCATCTCCTCTCTTTATTTGGCCTTGATTCACATTATACGATTCAATATTGGTGTTTAGTTACACTTTGCACTCAATTTCTAACCAATGACGCTATCCCCGTGGATACGACATCCCTTACTTCCACCACTTTACTCACTCATTTACTTTTTCTATCCACCATTTTCATCTTACTTCACATCTCTTTTTGATCGAGGGTTTTCGGTATCAAATGATGTATCAAAAAACTCTCACATCAAGTGCTAAACTGCTAATAAATTATTACGTATCACTTGGTCTCCAAACTCAACATGGTCATTTTATATAATATTCGTTGCAAGTGTTTGAGAGGTTTCTTAAATGTCAAACATCAATGCTCCTGTAACTATATGTTTTATTTTGCAATTTCATTGTTTGAAAGAAGGATCCACCTTGGATCATGGTCGAAATTTACAAATGTTTAGCTTACTGATACTCTTATTCTCAACAACACAGACATTTCTAGTAGTTGTGTTGGATTGCATGATTTATTGTCCATCTGGAAACTTTTGGTGTATCACTATAAAGGCGTGATGAAGGGGAAAAAATGGCAAGCCATATGTTATGTACAACATACAATTACATATAATTTGTTGGCTGCCTTGGATTCATTTGTTTCTTTTCTCATCTGCAATTGTTACTTTGCAATCAGTAGATATGAATATTCTGTTAACAACCTCTATGTAAATTGTTAATAACCTCTATGTAAATAATAGATATGAATATTTGGATATCTGATCTAGTGTTAGCTTTTCATTGCCTTTCTTTAACTTTTTTTTGGGATTAGATTGCCTCATTGCATCCGTGTTCATTAGAGTTTCGTTAGTTTTTTTTTTTGTTGAAATTTTACTCTTTCTTTAACATCTTAAACTAAAATTATGTAATTACAGTCTCTTGATTATATCTAAATATTTTCATCTTAAACTTTTCAGGCTGTGGCGAGGTGTCTCCCGCAAACTAATGAGGGTTTTACACATTTTGGTGAAGGGGCAAGAAGTTTTCTACTGACATTTACAAATATGTTGCCGGAAGATGGCCGTTACATGACTTCCGTAGGTAAGTTCTATAGATTTTTCCAAATTATTCATGTGAACAATATGAGATAGGTTGCAAGGCTCAGGTCAAGGTATTTTAAAAGGTTGTCCCTCCATTTTCTTCACGAAGGAGGATATAGGATTGCCCTGTGGTGTGCAATTTGGGTCTCATGTCCTAAGTTACCGACCTCTCAAGGTAGATGAGAATACGCTCAACTTCTCACGTCCTGATCTGGCTAGGTTCTGTGTGGAAGTAGATGTTTTGACATCTCTTCCTTCTTAAGGCACACTTGAATTTAGGGAATATAGAAATGTTTGTTTCAATTAGATATGAAAACCTTCCTCGTTACTGTTCTGCTTGAAAAAAACTTGGTCATCTCAAAGGCCACTGTAGAAATCAGGATAGAAACAGTACTGTTGGGGAACTGAAGCAACTCAAGCAAGTGGAACAAGAACCGGTTCAGGAGTGTATTGATCAACCTCACATAAAGGGAAAAGATCCGGTTCAGGAAGAACCTTGGACAAAGGTTACTTCCAAGAAGGTTGGGGCTGGTCTATCCACAAGTTCACAACCACTGAATGGAGGAAGGTGGGTCCATTCTTGTCAGGTCCTCGGGAATACTAAAAAGTAAAAAATGCCTATTCAGATAAATTCTAAACAGCTATAAGACTAAAAAAAACTCCTGCCCTAGGCCTAGTACTACCATATGAAAGTCATTTACCTATCAATATTAATGGCGATGGTAAAAATCTTGCATTGGTTTTTTGGAAACCATTACCCTTAATAATGGATTTTAAATTTACCTCACTCTTATCTTTTGGACTAGTGGACAACTTACAACAAGAAAGTCCTCTGTGGACTTCTCAATCTTATCCTACCAGGATGTATTATTTGGCATTTATGGAAAGCTTATAATAGAAATATATATGAGGATATTAAAGCCACTAAAATAAGGATCATAATCAAAATTGGTTCAATCTTGCTATTGGTCTAGTAAGAAAGCTCAAAAGATTGCTATTGATGGAGAAATTGAGGTCTTAAACCTTAAGATTTTTCTTCCAAGAATCTGAGTTTTCTGTTCGGTCTACAAGTAGAAGAATTAGAAGAAGAATAGGGGGTTTAATGTGCTTCTCTACAGCTTCTTTTTATTTGTGCTTTGATTTTTTTTGTGTGAATTTTTATTCTGGGCTTTTGTTTTGGGCCTGGTCAGTCTAATTATGTACATTTTTATCTTTAATCTATATGTAAGGATTACCTTATTCCACTGGAGAACAAAAGATATGTCATATTCTAACATTGTTAGTACTTGTGTAGCTTTTAAAAATAGATTTTTGTCCGAGAGATCTAATAATATGAATCTATCTAGGACGAATGTGGATTATGGATTATGTAGATATGGATCTGGACATAATATAAGACTTACTTGATCTCACCAATTTGGTTTTCCAAGACATGAACTACCGAAAAATAGTTGGTAAGTTATCTATGTGTACTGTGAATATGTGATGTATATTAGAAAAAAAGTGACTTTAGTATTTGTTTTTCAGTGTTTGAGAATGGTCAGTTCTTCCTACATGCAATCATGGATCCAATTGTTAAATAATGGTGAGGATGTTCAAGAGGAAAACCGTTCAAATCTTCCACCTTTGGATGCCCTATTTACTAGAATGGCACTGCTAAAAACTTTCTTGACATTGTGATGGAATCAAGACTGATAGAAGCTAACCCAATCATGAAGCAAGAATTAGAGGAGTTGATTTTGGTGAAATTGGTGCAACTTGGAGTGGACGTGCAAGGACGCGCAAGCTTCTTCTTACAAGAGATTGTGTTGGAGTATGCTAATCGTGTAAACGAGGTGCTAAATCCTATTCCTGGTTTTGATGGCGTAGAGCTCGTTGTTCAACTAGATGTCACATATTTCGTGGCTATTCCTTGATTTCTACTGAATTTGCAATTGATGTCTCTTTGTTTGCAATTGACGTCTCTTTTTTTACAAGATTCATTCTTCTAGAATCCTTAAGTATCGGTTGGAATCCTGCCATGTTACCTAAAGTAGAAGAGTATCGGTTCGAATTCTGACACGTTAGCCAAAGTATAAGAAAGAATTTCTAGAAGAATGAATTTTGCAAAAAAAAAGAAAAGAGATATCAATTGCAAACAGAGAGACATCAATTGCAAACTCAATAGAAGTCAAGGAATAGCCACGAAACATGTGCCATCTGGTTGAACAACGAGCTCTCTGTCACCAAAACCACGAATAGCAATTAGAACCTCGTTTACACGATCATCATACTCCAACATAATCTCTTGTGTGAGGAAGCCTTCACGTCCCTGCACGTCCGCTCCAAGTAGCACCAGTTTTGCTAAAATCAACTCCTCTAATTATTGGCTCGTGATTGAGTTAGCTTCTATCAGTCTCGATTCCATCACAACGTTAAGAAAAGTTTTCAGCAGTGTCATTCTAGTAAAATAAGGCATCCAAAGGCGGAAGATTTGGATGGTTTTCCTCTTGAACGCCCTCACCGTTATTATCAACAATTGGATCCAGATTGCTTGTAGGAAAAAGAGACCATTCTCAAACACTGAAAAACAAATACTAAAGTCACCTTTTTTCTAATATACTCCCTCCGTCTCAGAATTTATGTCCACTTTCCTTTTGGCACCAAAACCAATGCATAGGCTAAAAAGTCACAAATACCCTTTGGCAGCAATCCTACTCAATCCATCTGGGCGCTGTGCAGACCAGAATAATGGCCACCGCCATATTCGCTACCTCGTCTCCCTCAGCCTACCCGTGGATACACACCCCCCTCCCAACTCGATTGGAACACCCATCCCATACTCCACAGACTATTTTTCGGCCAATCGATGCAACACAACCACCCCAAATTCCCATCACAAATTCCAAATAGCCACTGTACAGGCCCTCTCTTTCGGTCCAGTTGCTGCCGCACATCACAACTCCCCCTCGTCGCGCAGTTCGCCGTCACACAACTCATCCCACCGCCACCAAGATATAGTTGCAAGAGAAGATCTGCAGAAGCAGATGAAGGAGGAGGAGAAGAAGAGAAAGTGGCGCAGCTCAATAGAGAAAGATTAGATCTGGATGGATACGATGCACTAGATTGGAGATGATTTGGGTGGATGTAAATATCTCACTATTCCGTATATGGCTAAGAAAGAAAATAGAGGGTGTAGAAACGTGTTTGGGGAGGAGGGCAAAATAGATATTTCATTTAAATTTTTTTACTTGAAAAGGAAAGTGGACAAATATTGTGGGACGGCCAAAAAAAGAATGTTGGACAAATACTCAGGGACAGAGGGAGTACATCACAGTACACATAGATAACTTGCCAACTATTTTGTGGTAGTTCATGTCTTGGAAACCAAATTGGTGAAGTCAAGTAAGTCTTATATTATGACCAGATCCATGTCTGCATAATCCACATTCGTCCTAGGTATATTCATATTATCGGATCTCTCGAATAAAAATCTATTTCTAAAAGCTACACAAGTATTAACAATGTTAGAATATGACGTATCTTTTTTTCTCCAGTGGAGTAAGGTAATTCTTATGAATAGATTAAAGATAAAAATGTACAAAATTGGATTAACCAGGCCCAAAACAAAAGCCCAAAATAAAAATTCACACAAAAAAGAATCAAAGCGCAAATAAAAAGAAACTATAGAGAAGCACGTTAAGACCATTATATTCTTCTTCTAATTCTTCTACTTATAGATCGAATAAGAAACCCAGATTCTAGGAAGAAAAACCTTAAGGTTTAAGGCCTCAATTTCTACATCAGTAGCAATCCTTTGAGCTTTCTTGCTAGACCAATACCAGGATTGAACCAATTTCGATTATAATCCTTATTTTAATAACTTTAATCCCCTCATATATGTTTCTATTATAAGCTTTTCTATAAAGACCAAATAATACATCCTGGTAGGATAAGATTGAGAAGTCCATTCTAGAAAACAGGGCATCCAACAGCGAAGGATTTGGATGGTTTTGGAGGAGATAGAAGTAGGAATATCGAATATCTTTATGTCCGCTCTCTTTCCAAGTTCATTTTTCGTGAAGAATTTTTTTGGGATGTTTCGGAGATGAAAGCAGAAAGTGGGAATTTTTTTTGGAATTTTTTCAAAAAGAGCTCATTTAAACGAGTAATTGATTTTAGACCTTATGAATTTGTGATTCCAATTGATTGGTTGAAGTACCTTGAGGTATTGGTCTTGGGTGTTTTTAGTTGAGGGCGTTTTATTTTTATATACAATCTTCTTTCACAGGAAATGGAGTTACCCACCCTACGTTGTAATTACTCGATTATAAGGCATAAGAACAGCCTGGTGTGGTTGGGTGAATCATAGCTAGATAGCTATGTGCTCTTACTTTCTGCCATGCCATTCTACTCCCATGTTAATTTATACTCTGTATCATTTGTGTTGTTTTTTGTAATTTGGTAAAATATGTATATACTCTGTATCATTTATGTATATTTTTGGAAAAATATCTATTACTTTTGTAAAGAGCAAAGGTAAAGATAAGGCTAAGGATAATGATAAGGATATGAAGAGGATAAAAAGGAAGAGGAAAAAATTGAATTAAAATATCCACAAACCTAAGGGTAGGCAACAATAGTAGTCCGATATTGTTACGGATCGGACCGATATTGTAGTTAACCGAAAAGTGAGTTTTATGGTTAATTGGTTATAAGACGAGTTCCCAAAAAATAAAAAACTGAAAAAATCAAACTGAATCATTACCACTAAAATGTTAAATTCAAAAATTAATTATACATTTTTATTTGTTAATTTTAGTAAGTTTAATTTATTATACTCCGTATTTATTTAGTGTGACTTTAACATACTTAAACTTGTGTTAGTACTTTATTACCTCGGAGTACAACTACAATTTTCAAAAATTATACTACAATCATGATTGTCAAAAATTACAAATTAACAAACCAACCAACGTGCTTGGGCTAATTCAACCCACTTTTAAGGCGGGCATAAATGGGCCTGGGCTGTGCCCGTTTAACAAAAATTACCCCATATTTTTCTATTTAATTCTTCTTTCTCCTATGTATGTGTGTGTTTTGTTTGTTTGTTTGTTTGTAGGTAAAATGTATGTATAATTGCAGATTTATACTCTGAATTGGAAAAAGGAGTCCAGCCATGAGTAAAATTCCACCATCAATCCTCCGCCAGCCACCGCCGCCTCGCTCGCGGATGGCCGCCATCAACGAAGATGAAGGAAACACAGAGGTACCGATGCTAACAGCATGTTATGCCATATATAAAATTGAGAATGAATATGATCCCTTTGACTTAAGCTCTAAAAGCTATTAAATAAATAAAAAAAGAAATCTGAATAAAATTATATATATGTTTGATTGAATATTAAAAACTGAAAGTTTTGAATAAAATTGTGTGTGTGTGTGTGTGTAAGGGGTAATCTGACACTGTAAGATTGATTGAGGCCGTTAATTCAAAATCGGCGAACCAACAACAAGAAAAGCAGCCACAGCTGCGGTTGAAAATCAGGGAGTACTTATATGTTATATACGGATGATACTTTTAGCAAATGGAGTATTTTGATAATGTATATTGCCCAGTTGCAGCAACCAAATCCTGGAGTACTATTTTCATTGATCTCTTTATTTTAAATATTTAAGAGAAGTCACAAGTTGATAGATGATTCAAGAACTCAAGTAGTACTTTGTACTCTTTTCCAACATGTTGTTATCCCTTTACTTCAGTCATTAAGCCCCCGGGGCATAGCTCAACTAGCAAAGGCGTGAGTCTTGCTGGCGACCTATAGGGTGGGGGTTTGAGTCATGGAGATGTCTCTTAAGATTCCGCCTCTTGTGGGTGAGATTAACCAACCTCGGGGTGTGCGGGACCCCTGGGTGGGGGTTCCATCTTTTTTTCTTTTAACTTCAATCGTTGACCCATTCAAATTGTGTACCAATACATTTTATTTTAACATCAACAATTATCATATAATTAAAAGCGTGAGGGGGCGAGGTTTGGGTGGCGGTTTATGAGGGTGGTTATGAGAGGTAGGTCATATTTATGAATGGGACACCATAGGTGTCCCAATTTAATTGGTGTCACAATCTTACACCACTTGGAGTGATGTAAGATTACATCTCCTATATCAATTGTTGGAACAATTTTGCCAAAACTAAGTTTTCCAATTGCTCTATCATTATTGGGCAGGCTTGTGTTGTTCTTGATTTCATCATGATTTCATCATGATTTCAAGAAGTCTTCACCAATATCACTCTTGTGATTCTCTAATCAAAAGGCCGAACAACATTCATAGGATTTTGATAGTTTTCCTCTTTCAACATCCTCATCATTATCATCATCAATTGGATCCTTAACCGGTTGTAATGAGAAATGTCCATCCTCACAGAAAATGAAATCAATATTTTTTTCTAAATATGAATAACACGACACATGGAATTTACCAAGCTACTATTTTTGCGATAGTCCTTTGTCTTAGAAAATCGAATTTGCAAATTGAAAAGCGGGGTGGTTCCCATGATAGTAATTACGGTAGCCAATAGGCGAAGGGAGGGGAGTGCAGGGGGCGGGTAGGGTGGTGTTTAGGGGGGTAGGAACCATAATGTTTTGAACGGTGCACCATATGGGCCCCAATTGGAGCCCATGTCATAGCATGACATTGGTGACCAATGTCAGAGGAACTGCTTGGATTCAAAAGATAGCAAGGTTTCCTCATGAAATTGAAAAGAGTAGTCAAATCTACATATTCACCATGCCCCCCCCCCTTTTTTTTGTCTAGGTAGTATCCATTTAAGAAACATAATAAATATTGTTTATTGCCAAGTTTTAGATTGGAATATATATAGAGGAAGCCGTGGAACTTCAAACAAAGTTAAGAGTTGATTGTAATATATAGGGGTCTACTCGCTTTAGATTATAGTAGAATTAATTAGCTAATTACGGGTAGACAAGTTCATAGCTGAATCTTTATTTGATATGTAGATGGCTGAGGGCAATTGTACTCGAACTTTTTATCTAAGGAGGTGTAAAAGGAAGAGGTTAACGGGCATGGAGTCTCTACCTGATGAATTGCTGTTTGAAGTTCTGGTGCGTCTCCCAGCTCAAGATATTTATGACCCGGCAAGGCTTGTTTGCCGGAAGTGGTACCATATGATCCATACCCATAATTTCATCTATGCACACCTTCAGCATACAACATATGGGCTTCTCTTCCAATGTACGCGCAAAGATTCATTTTTTATGGCTGTGCGAGAAGGCCGAATTGAGATATCAAAGTTCAAGTACAAGTTTAGATACGAAGTTAAGACTAGTTGCAACGGATTGTTGTTGGAATTTGAAGAGTGGAACCATAATAATGCTTATATTTCGAATCCTGCTACAAGTCAAATCTTTGTTCTCCCTCCAAAGGTCGGTGGGCTAGTAAGGTATGGAATAGGAATAGCATATGCTGCAGCTACCATGGAGTATAAAGTGGTCATGCCATATCCTGTTCTGCCAAACTCAAAAGGATTATGCTATATATTAACTGTTGGAGTTGATAACTCTTGGAGGACTGTCCGTACGGAACACTTATCTTACGAAGCTATGCGAGCATTTATTGCTCCTCCATTACTTACTGAAGGTTTTGTGCATTGGTGCTCTGCTCGTGACGATGGAGTGTTGACTTTGAATGCTGAGACTGAAATTATCAAGGAGACTCCTGCCCCTGTCCCAAGACCAGTTCTTGAAGGAGGTAGAAGTAGGAATATCTTTTTGTCCGCAGGAAGGTATCTTTCCATGTTCGTTTTTTGTGAAGAATTTTTTTGGGATGTTTGGGAGATGAAGCCAGAAACTGGGGAATGGAGAAAGGTGCGTAGCATTTCCTTGGATGCCGAAAGAGCACATTTAAACGAGTAATCGATTTTAGACCTTATGAATTTGTGGTTCCAGTTGGTTGGTTGAAGTACCTAGAGGTATTGGTCTTGGGTGTGTCTAGTGGAAGGCGTTTCGTTTTTATATACAATCTTCTTGCACAGGAAATGGAGACAATGGAGTTACCCACCCTGCGTTGTAATTACTCGATTGTAAAGCATAAGAACAGCCTGGTATGGTTGGGTGGATCATAGCGCTATGTGCTCTTTCTTTCTGCCATGCCATTCTACTCCCATGTTAATTATCATTTGTGTTGTTTTTTGTAATTTGGTAAACTATGCATATACTCTGTATCATTTGTGTTGTTTTTTGTAATACTAGTATTTTGACCCGTGCAATGCACGGGGTTAAACAAATGTATTGAAGAGATATTTATTTTTTTGATAGAGTTTTCTTTTGTTTGTTGAGATTGTTTACTTGAATAATTTTTATGGCTTTCAAAAAAAATTGTGATGCATTTATTCAAATCATACGTTACATACATGGATCTTTCAATTCTCAAAATTTCTTGTTTTAACATCTACTCACATGCCTTTTTCTTTGATTGATTGGTAATCATGATACTTTTTTTTTCCACCATAGATCTTCTCATTACTCTTTTTTAACATTTAAATATCAAAACTATCTAACTTTATCTATTATACTTCACCCTCATTTAATATATTCCACTTATTTTCATCAAGGATATATTGGTAAACTTTACCTTTTTTAACTCCTAAAAAACTACTCTCTCCGTCCCTGAAAGCGTTTCCCTTATTGACTTTTTGGGAAATTAAGGGATGGATAATTTGGTGTTAACTTTCCAAAAATATCCTTGATGTGATGTGTAAATATAAGATGTGATTGATAGATTATTAGTAAAAAAGTATGATGTGATAGGTAGGGTGTGAAAAAGTAAGGGATAAAAGTTATTTTTTAATGGATAAGGAAAAGAGTTAGTGGGACAAGAAAAAAAGAAAGAGGAAGAAGTTTAAGGGACCAAGGGAGTATAAAAAGTCAAAATGACAAAGATAGTACTTTTGTTTTTCATTTATAAATTGAGTTCTAGTTTTTTTTCAAAAGCATGTGCTTTGAGATTATTGAAACATTCCCTATCCCTAGCAATGTTGCTCTGTTCGACCGGTTGGGCTACAAATCAGTAGGTATTCCGGTCCGGTTCAATATTGGAATCCTCTTTACAACAACCTAGTAGAATCTCACGAAGAGTAGGGTTTACTGCACTTATAAGTTATAAGTACGTCTAAAGAGTATATTGCAGCAGTGAAAGCAAGCAAAGAGATGTTTTGGCTTAAGAGGTTTCTGCAGGAATTGGGTTTGAAACAAGATGAGTATGTTGTATTCTGTGACAATTATAGTGCTCAAGATTTGAGCAAGAATACAATGTATCATGCTCGTGCCAAACATATTGACATTAGATATCATTGGTTGCAAAATGTGATTGAAGAGAAAAAATGAAACTAAAGAAAGTCCACACCGACAAGAATGTGACAGATATGTTGACAAAGGAAATTCCCAAAAGGAAGGTTGAGCTTTGTAGCAAGCTTACCGAGATGAGGGCCAATTGATCTTGATGGGATTGTGTCTCCTCTTTGATGGGTTGGAGGGGGGGGGGTGGGTTCAGCCAACTTATGTGCATTAGTAAATTTATAGCTTATGTTTGGTTTAAGTGCAAGCCCAAATATCCACTTATTGGCATGGCCCAATGATGAGTTAAATTGAAGCTTCATTGGGAAGCTTAAATCTTGGTTTTCTCTGGTCTTTTCGCTGGCTTAATGAGCAAAGAGTTTGGGGGAAAAAGAGAGCAAACAACAAGTGGAAAAATTAAAAAGAGGATGGCTTTTGACAATCATTTTTCAGCACAGATTTTTCTAGACAGATTCATAGTTGTGAATGGCGCTCGCCTCTATAAAGCTCTGATTAATCCATGGTCGCAAGTCAATTCGAAATTTCATACAAACGTGTACTTGTTCTTGTTAAATTTGAGTTTTATCTTATAAATTTTTGGACTGAATATCCAAATTAATTAATCTGAAATTGCTACACGACTCTTAGATTATCCGTGTTATCTTCTTTATCTCCAAGAACTTGTGGTTTCCATGAGTTGTTGTTTGTGATTTATAAATTAAGTTCTACGGAGTAGTTTTTTTCAAAAGCATGTGCTTTGAGATTATTGAAACATTCCCTATCCCTAGCAATGTTGCTCTGTCTGACCGGTTGGGCGGCAAATCAGTAGGTATTCCGGTCCGGTTCAATATTGGAATCCTCTTTTAAAAAAGTGCAGCAAAATAATATATTTACTGCACTTATAACAGCAAGCCAGTAGAATCTCACGAAGAGTAGGGTTTACTTTAATGGATTTGTTTTAATGTTTATATTTTTTGCAATTTTTTTAGACTAACCGATAAAACTTATCTATAAAGCTTATTGGTTTTGATTTTAGGTTCCACCACTAATAATTGAGAGAGAGCTGATAATTTCAGTTTTGAGTTTAGAGCTTCAAACTTAGCGACGAGTTTGGGAAGAGTACGAGAGGAGGAAAGAAGCTTAATTGAGGAGAGAGAGAAGTATGAATATACAATTTTATCCACATTCTTAACATAAATATTAAAAAGAATCTTTCGTGAAAATGAATATAATATTTGAAAATTAAATTAGTAATATTTGATATGTATGGACTAAATATGTAAAACGATTCATAACTAGGAACCTTTTATTGAATTTTCTCTAAAATTTTATAAAGAAAAAAATCAAAAACAAGTGGAGGAAGTACCTTGATAAATTCCATGTGTGGGAGTGCGACAATATAGCGCAGGCCGGGGAAGGTGATTGATTGATTAACCAGCGAAACCCAACACATCTTCCCCGCAAATTGCGCCGAGTCACAAAACCAATCTATAACTAAATCACAATTACGAGCAAATGTGGCGACATTTATTCAGTACCTCAGCCCATAACATCCCACGTCGAAATGGCGCCAATGATCATCAATAAGCGCGGGCTCAACCTCCTCCTCCTCATCCTCCTCCTCGCTCAGGCCAACACTCCGCCGGCGCTCTCCCTCAACGTCGCCGACCTGAACGTCATCGACCAGGGGTCGAGCTTCATGCAGGCGGCGGTGCAGTCGTTCGCCGGCACCGAGAGCGGCGGCGCGATGGACATCGAGCAGACGGCGGAGGAGCTGATGATGGAGTCGGAGGGGTCGAGGCGGCTGCTGTTCCAGAGCAGGTACATCAGCTACGGCGCCATGCGGAGGGACAGCATCCCCTGCAACCGCCGCGGCCCTTCCTACTACAACTGCCGCTCCCACACCGCCGTCCGCCCCTACACCCGCGGCTGCAGCAAGTTCACCCGATGCGGCGGAAGATACGGTTAAACAACCACTCATGGCGGCGTACAATATTCCATAAGGTGGCATGCATTATGACATGGATCAGACATGCACAACAAATATTTTTACTTGTACGGCCTTATTTTGTTACTCGTAATTAATTTGATACCAAATCCAATAACCTTTGCTAATTATTTTCTCATTATTATTCCGGATCACTATTTCTTCCCTCATCTTTTTTTATTTGATTTTTTACGATTTCTAATGTAACACTTTATCATTAATATTTATATTTATACATGAATATATTTTATTAAAATTTAATTTTTCAAAACTATGTTTCAAAAACATATTATTGATATTATATTGATATCACAACACAATATATTTTCATAGATCTAGATTAAATTTATAAACTTTGACAAAAAAGTCAAATAGAGAGCTCAATTTCGGAAAGGAGGGAGTACTATTATTTGTACTTTATTATTGTTTAATTGTTTGAGCGCTGTACTGATATTGTTATCATTATTGTTATTATTATTACTATGTTGCACGTATATGGATTTGTATTTTCTTCATTAGCAACAAGGGTTGGATAATGACTGATTATAGAATGACTCTACGAAAGTGGTCATTAGCAATAAATATTGGATAACGACTGATTATTTCAATGACTATTCAAATTTCTTTAAATAATGTCTTATCCTACTTGAATTGTGTAATACCTCATTTTTCTTAAAGGCAGGACAATTTAGAACTTTTCATTGTCAAACGTTAAAGTAAATATGACTTATTCTATTTAAAGAAAAATGATATGTTTAAGTCCTATTTACGTGATTTAGCCATTTTTGTTTGAAGGAACTTTCTTCAACTTAAATTTTTAATTACTGTATAAATTTTGAAATAAATTAAATTTTGAGACCGATGTAGTTTAATGTAAACTGAATATAATTGAGTTTATTTTAAAGAAAAAATTTGGTAGATACTCCCTCCGTCCCTAAATAAACTTCCTCTTTCGTTTTTTCTTTGTCCCCAAATAAATTTTTCTTTTCCCTTAAAAAACCCCTTTTACCCCTTACTTTTTCATACCCTACCTATCACATCATACCTTTTTACTAATAATCTATCTATCACATCTTATTTTTACACATCACATCAAGGGTATTTTTGGAAAGTCAACACAAAAATATCCCTCCCTTAAATCCTCAAAAAGTCAAAAATGGAAGTTTATTTAGGGACGGAGGGAGTATAAGCTAAGGATCACCTAGATTTTATAGACCTTATTTGTTTAAAATTATTTTTTCATTGATTAGAGTTGTGATTGTGTACGTAATCAATATACGGAGTATCAAACACGGGAGTGTTTTTGGGGATGAAGAGAGTATGCATTTTTCCATTCTCTTCGACCCATAATTTCTTTCTTGTTTGGTTATTACCATGTTTAAGAAAATAAAATTTGTGACTGTGGTTTGTATAAAGAGTTACTCCAAATTGTATAACTAATCGAGGGTACTACATTTTTGTGTCAAGATAATTTTACAATTCTTTATTTACCTTTCTTGTTTAAGTATGAAATGCGTCCCTTAGATTTTTTGCCTTCTACTCCCTGCGTTTGCAAGACTAGGATGCAAAATAAGGAAATGTTAAATTATACGGAGTAGTTGACTTCCAATTTTGCCCCTGATGTGATAGGTAAAAGTGAGATATGATGGATAAATTATTAGGAAAAAAAATATGGTGTGATAGGTAGGGTATGAAAAAGTAAGGGTAAAAGTAGTTTTTTAATAGAAAGTGGAAGTGTTTTATTGGAAGTGAAAAAAATGAAAGAGAAAGTGTTTTTGAGAACCGAGGAGTATATATAATTGAACGAGTTTCAACTACTACTTGTGCTTCACTTTGTAGGACTTAATTTCTTTTAGAACGTGTATGTGATAAAAACCAAATTAGAATTTATTTTTAAGTAGAGCTAGTATATACTCCCTCCGTTTGCAAAAAGACTTCCCATTTTGATTTGGGGCAAAAATAAGGAAGTGTTAAATTATACGGAGTAGTTGATTTCTAATTTTGCCCCTGATGTGATGAGTAAAAGTAAGATGTGATGGATAGATTATTAGAGAAAAAGTATGATGTGATAGGTACTGTATGAAAAAGTAAGGGTAAAAGTGGTTTTTTAATAGAAAGAGGAAGTGTTTTGTTGGAAGTGGAAAAAATGAAAGAGAAAGTGTTTTTGAGAACGGAGAGAGTACGTTTTTTAAAATACAAAATTAACGAAAAAATTTGCATTGGGATCGGAGATTACGAAAAAATGAAGAGTAAATGATACTCCTTGCGTAACTAACCCAAATAGAAAAAAAGGGGAAGAATAACCGGAGAAGTGGGCTAGGGTTTAGGAGGAAGAGAGAAAAAAATTAGGGTTTAGAGAAGTAATGTACGGAGTAACTTTATGATCATATCCCAATACAATTTGTTCTATTCCTGTCGGTTCAACAAAGGGGTCAAGGGAAAGAACCGAAAAAAAAACCCTTGAAGGAGCTTATAATTCCGCTCAACCTAAAAAAACCTACATATACACATTTGAACAACAAAATAATCTTAGAACGACTAAAACGCAGTCTCGAAACACCACTTCCTATCGATCCATGCCGCCGCCATCGTCAATTCATCACGTAATGTATCATCATCATCGATCTTCCACGCACAAACTTTGAATTGAATGCCTTGATGAAATTTAAAAACGAATTAACTCACTTAGTGAATTGAATGAAGTAGTATATGAATCACAATAACAGAATTAACAGATTCAATTACATACAAATTCATACCTTCTTGAAATAGTCAACTAATAACGTGCACGCCCTTCGGCTTTCTTGAACTGATTGGCAAGAGCCTCTTTGACCTCCTTTCTTGAACCACCATTAATGGAACCCCCCACGAAATATGGGTGTTCTTGAAGCAACTGTGTTGAAGATGGCCTCTCCCTCGGATCTTCACGAAGACAATCTCTTATTAAATACCCCAAAGATTCTGATATTCTCACCATCCCCTTCTTGTTCTTCTTGTTCTTGAATAACAATAACCTGTTCCAAGAAGTTGGGAACCATGTTGTTTTGGGACCCACAAAGTTGTCCTCCAGCAGCTTTCTCAAACCCGCGTACGTAGACGCCGGAATCTCTCCGCCGTAGACGAGCTCCAGCGCGAACAGGCCGAACGCCCACACGTCCGCCGCCTTCCCATGCACCCTCTCCGGCGCCGCCCAACACTCCGCCGTGGTTTTCTTCTTCCGGCACATCAACTCCGGGAACCCTAGCTTCGGCATCCAGAACTGCTCCGCGTCCATGTACACGTTGTCCGCGCAGATGCCGCCGTGCGCCTCGCCGCCCACCCTGTGCAGCCACTCCAGCCCCTCCAGCGTCTCCCGGAGGATCAAACCCACGCCGGACTCCGGGAGAGGGGAGGGGGACGCCGCGAGAAGAGACTTGAGAGGAACCCTAGACACGGAGGGCATGGCGGTCCACCGTTGGTTCTTGTTGCTGTCGGGCCGGAAGGAGACGTGGACGCCGAGGATGTTCCTGTGGAGGCAGACGCTGGCAAGCTCTGCGGCGGCGCGCTCCAACTCGTTGCCGCCGGCGGTGACCAGAATCTGGACTGGGTACTCGAACGGCTTGACGCAAGATTTGGCCATGACGGCGCCGCGGGTGGCGCGGATTACCTGCAGAGGAGTGTAGGCGTCTTCTCGTGGGGCGAAGAATCCTTGTTTTCCCATGATTTCAATACACTAATTGCGATTTTCTTGATAAATCTCTCTCTCTCTCTCTGTAGTTTGTATTTTGTAATAACACAGGAGAAAATGCTCTCCTAGTGTTCGTTCCTATTTATACTAGGTAAATGATACATTAGGGCAGGGGCCCAAATAACTGATTATACTTGATTAACAAGAAATATTAGTGCTTGTGTTGCAAGCTAATAATCGTTAGTTAATGCGAGATATTCTAGACAAGAAAATAAAAAATTGGAAACAATTCCTCATTATATTCTTGAATATGATAGGGAGGAAGAAAATTAAATGTCATGTACTTTTTTAACTATATACGGAGTATTAATTTCTTGTGTAAATATAATGTCAATGAATTCATTTTGAAATGTGCGTGGTTTAAAGCTATTTTTTATATACAATTGAAGATATTATTCTAAACGTGTTACATTAAAGATTGTAAAAAGTCAAATAGAGAATTAATTTTATAATGAAGGGAGTAATTAAAAACAGAAAAAAAATGATAAAATATACTACTCCGTACTATACAATCTCTCCTACTTCATCTTTATTTTAACAAAGTAGTGGGGATTAATGAAGTGAAATTTGCACTAAATAGGACTAAAACATAATGACTTTCCTAATGTAGGATTTAAAGTTTTTTATTCTCTAATTAGGACTTAATAATGACATAGTGGAAGGAAAAATTTCCAGTAATGATGGACATTTAGTTGAATAATGACTACTTGATAATGACCAAAGGTCCTACATTGGGAAATTAAAACATATGGTCATATATTGGGGAAGTCATTATGTTTTGATCCTATTTAGGTAAATTTCTCATTAATGAAATACCACTTAATAATAATAATAATAACAATAATTTTAACAACGTGTTACATTGGAGATTATTGGTCCTCTTATTGAGAGAAATCTTGAAAAATTTTATAATTCGCTTGCCTAATAAAACCTACTACCTCCGTCCCACTCTCTTTGTCCACTTTTGACTTTTGGAACTGTTCATCTAAGCACTTTGACTCATCAAATTCTCTCAATGTGTAAGCCTAAATATAGTCATGTGTGATCTTGTTTGATTTGTCTTAACATATACTCCCTCCGTTCTCAAAAACACTTCATCTTTCATTTTTTCCACTTCGAATAAAACACTTCCCCTTTCTATTAAAAAACCACTTTTACCCTTACTTTTTCATACCCTACCTATCACATCATACTTTTTCTCTAATAATCTATCCATCACATCTTACTTTTACCCATCACATCAGGGGCAAAATTGGAAATCAATTATAATTTAATACTTCCTTATTTTTGCCCCCAAATCAAATGGGAAGAGTTTTTCCAAACGGAGGTAGTAGATTATTAATATATAATTTCTATAATTTTTTAATATACAAATTATAAGATAAAATGGATTAAAGAAGTGCATTGAATGGTGTGCCAAAAGGTAAGTGGACAAAGAGAGTGGGACGGAGGGAGTAGATCACAATAATTCG